TTCAGAGTCTTGCTTCAGCAGAACCTTGGGTGGTAGGTGGAACCCTCTGGTGGGAGCCCCACTGGGAGCCTCAGGAAGTGTGGCTCCTGGGAAGGTGATGGGGGGAGCAGGGGACCAAATGGGGCCAAGAAGAGTGGGGGAAGAGGGGTGAGGCCTGCAGGGGCTCGGGAGGCTGGGGCTGCCACAAAAAGCCCCCCAAACAAGTGAGGTTGGGTGTCATAGATTTACTGGGCCCAAGGTATCTGAAATAGCATCATTTCAACACGTCACGTATCTAAAAATTCTTTTCTCGGGGCTAAGACACTGAATTTATGTTACATGAACCCCACCCCCCACCCCCCACAAAAAACATTTAAAAAGTCATTGCAGTGGAGGTACTCCGACTCGTATTAGTGAGTCAGGACAGAGCAGGCCTGATCCACTGGGTCTCCGAGGTTATAAATCTTTATGGGAACAGACTGCCTCATCTTTCTCCCTTGGAGTGGCTGGTGGGTTTGAACCACTGACCTTGTGGTTAGTAGCCCAGCTGGTGGTGGCGCAAGCATTCAGCTGCCAGCCACTATTAGCAGGGGGAGAGGGGGGTTGGTTAGGAAGAACCGTGGCCGAGGGTCATCCTGGATTTTAGTCTAAGAGCAGAGAGAGGCAGGACAGGATCTGATTTCTGTCTTCAGAGGCTGGAATGCTTTGGAGCAGCTGTGACAGGACTGATCCCAGGGCAGGGGAGAGACCCAGGTGAGGGTCTTGCTGACAGGTGATTTTAGAGAGTTACAGGCAGGGGCAATGGAGCAGCAGTGAGTCAGACATAGGCCTTGCCATCTGATCTCTCCCCCTTTAACCAAAGGTCACCCATCCCTACAACCTCCCTCCTTCAAGGAAGAGAACCTCATCAAAACCCCAGACTCACTCTGACAGTAACCCTCCCTGTAGATCAAGGTAGAACTGTGGGTTTCTGAGACTGTAAGAAAGCCTCATCTTCCCGAAGAGTGGCTGGTGGCTTTGAACTGCTGTCCTTGCAGTTAGCATCCCAGCACCTAGCCCATACTGGTTAGGCTGGAAGCGAATGGCACAGTGGCTACTTAACCACCTCTAAAGGAACCCAACCTGGCAAATTTGTGAAGAACCTGGAGTGGGGATGTCTGCTACTTTCTGCTCCTCACAGAATCATGAGTTTCAGAGCAAGAGGGGACAAACCTTCTCGTGTCCTCTCGTATTCTATCTGTTAGAGCAGGGGTCCTCAAACTTTTTAAACAGGGGGCCAGTTCACTGTCCCTCAGACCCATAGGAGGGCCGGACTATAGTTTAAGAAAAAACTATGAACAAATTCCTATGCACACTGCACATATCTTATTTTGAAGTAAAAAAACAAACGGGGCAAAAACACCGGGCGGGCCGGATAAATGTCCCTGGCGGGCCGGATAAATGTCCCTGGTGTGCCGCATGTGGCCCGCGGGCCGTAGTTTGAGGACGCCTTAGACATCTCCTCCTTGTCATGCCTGTTAGGCTGCCTCTGAACCCCTGCGCCCCTCTTACTGGCTGTGTGGCCTTGGGCCAGACGCTTCCGCTCTCTGGCATTCCATTTCCTCCTCTGCACCTGGGAGCTGTTGATGTCTGTCTCTTCAGGTGTCTGGGAGAAGTAAGTGGACTTCCAAGGAAACAAACTCATTGCCCTCGAGTGGAATCCGACTCACAGGCACCTCAGACGGTGAGATAGTTAAGATTTATTGTGCCAACCTGGCCGATAAAAACAGGTGGGGTTAATTGAAGGGCGGAGCGCTAAATGCTGGCTCATAGAGCACCCCCTGTGAGTTTCTGAGAGTAACTGTTTACGCGAGTAGAAAGCCCAGTCTTTGTCCCGAGGAGCTGCTGGTGGTTTTGAACTGCCGACCATGCGGATCGCAGCCCAGCGCAGACCCACTACACCACCAGGGCTCCTGCCTTGAATGTTGCGGAGTCCACGTAAAAATGGCATCAGGGAGGCCCTTACTACTCTAACTTCGGGCAAAAACCCAACCAAACTCACTGCCACGGAGCCAGTGCCGGCTCACAGCGACCCTGTAGCACAGGGTAAGGACCAGCCCCACTCCAAGACTGGAACTCTTTATGGGAGCAGGGAATTCTGTCTTCCTCCTGAGGAGCCGCTGGTGGGTTTGAACTGCTAACATGGTGGCTTACAACCCAGCACATAACCACTATGCTACCAGGGTTCCTTGAGGAGAGGGAAGATCTGAACACCAGCCCCAGGCTGATTCCCCTGAGGTGGAGGTCAGGCAACTCTCACTCTCTACCTTCCAGGAGCTCTCTGCTCCTCGTTGGGTTTAGTACACTTACAACGGCCACACAGAACTCAGACACACTCACCATGATGGGGTCTACTGGAGAAGTAGCAGCCTGCACTTCAGGATCAGGAATGGTCAGGATCCAGCTCTGCAGCCAGGACAATTTGAATCCTCTTCCTGATCTGCCTCAGCGTTGCCGTGTGACCTTGGACAGATTCCTGGGCCTTCGTTCCCGCCCTCATCAACAACAATATTTGCGGATCACATGCAGTGAGGGCCTCCCATGTGTGAGGCACTGCTCTACGCATTTTGCTCTTCTCCCATTGGCTGATTTTCAGAATTGGATCGCCAGACCTTTCTTCCTAGTCCGTCTGTCTGGAAGCTCCGATGAAACCTGTTGGATATGATAGCACCATGCATGTCTGCACTGACAGGTAAGTGGTGGCTGGGATTCAGACCCAGGTCTCTTCTGTGTGAAAGGCAAGAATTTTACTTACCACCAGCCACCCCAAGGGCGAAAGATGAAGCTTTCTCCCCGCATAGACATCCACAGTCTCAGAAACTCACAAGGGCAGTTGTATGCTATCTGTCTGTGTTAGTCTGAGTACTTTAGAGAATTCACAGAAACTCATGTGTATAAGAGAGAGTTTTATATAAAGGGTAAGTGCACATCAAGAAAACATCCCGACCCAGTGCTGCCCACAAGTCCAACATCAGCCCATATGCCCAACACCAATCCACAAAGTCCTCCTCCATCTCACAAAACATACATATAACAACAAAAAAAATTTAGAGGAAGAAAGAGAAAAAAATCTTTCAAGTAAAATAGTGTTTGCGGGGGAAATGAAGGCAGTCTCTCGCTCCCTCCCGGCCAGCTCATCTCTCATCACAATAGACCCTGTCTTTTGTCTTTGGATGTCCAGGGGAAGAAACTCACAGACCCCTTCCCTTCCCTGCCCCCCACCATCCGCACTCCCTCCCCTCTTTCCCTGAGCTCGCGGCAGTTCCAGAAAATAGCTTTTCTCACTGACCTCACTGATGCCCGCCGGGCCTGGCTCTGCCATCTGGGCACAGCCTGCCCGTGGTGACCATCTAGCTGGAACTGGGAGACCTGGGCAGACATCTGGAGGAGGGGTTCTGGAGGCAGGCCGTGGCCTCTCAGGGAAGAATTATCCCAACAGGAACAAAGGGGGGAAATTCCTGTCCCTGGAAGACCCCCTCTCCAGCCCCAAGTAGGGGCCTGAGGGGAGGATGAGGAAGGAAGAGCCCAGAGCAGGTGGAGGAATCAGGCAGGATCCCCTCCTGCTGAGAGCCAGGGCTGACCGAGGGAAAGCCTGATAAACTGGGGGCTGCAGCCCCTCCTGAGGCAGCCAGCTGCCCCCCACCTCCATCCCTGCATCCCTCAAGACAGACCCAAGATGTCCCAGCTCCATCAGCCATGCCCAGGGAGGAAGTGGCCCCAGTAGCTGCTCAGAGGTGGTGCCAGGGTCACCTGCTCCCTGCAGTGGGAGAATCCCAGTCAGCAGCCCCAGAGAGACTGAGGCCCAGGTGGGGCCCTGAGATGGTGTGTGAGGAACAGGGGAAACTCAGGCAGTACTTTCTGCTTGCTTTTGTTGTTGTTTTGTTTTGTTTTTTAACTCACTTACTGGCCCCTGCCTAAAAACCCCAACATGCCCCAGGATGAAAGCGCACCTGGCCCTGCCCTCATGTTCTGCCCGGTGTGCACAGGGGCACACCTGCTTTTGTTTACTGTGGCTTGGCAGACTGGGCACAGAGGGCTGTTGTGGGAGCCTCCGAGCGGCTGGGGAGGGGTGAACAGGGCAGCGAAGGATTTGCGGTTAGAACAGCTGGGAAAGTGGACCCGTGAATAGTGACCCCCAGCCAAATTTTTCAAGCAGCTGTCCCTCTCCTCGCAGCCCCAGGCCAGCTCAGCTGTAAGTGCTCACCACGCCCCCCCCACCCCCCAGGGCTCTCTTCATCTGGGGGGCTGGTTCCCTTTGTAGCATGTTTAATCCGACCCTGTCCTTTTGTGGACCTTCTGCTCTGGCTCCTCCTGATGTTTACGGTTTGAATGAACCAGGGAGGAGAGTGCCCGTGGGTGAGACTTGGCTGTGACCCGCTGTTTGTTGTGGGGTGTCACTCAGTGGCTTCAGCTCGGGCCTGGGTACCACAGAACCAAACACTGCCGGTCCTACTAACCTGCAAAACGCTCCTGTGCTGGTCCCAGGAAGTACTGTGTTTCAGTCTGCTCATCGGGTGGCCGCTAGGAGCCTTTCGAGCCCTGGTGGAGTAGCGATTACATGTTTGGTCTCCTAACCCAAAAGTCAGCAGTTCAAAACCGCCAGCGGCTCCTTCGGAGAAAGACGAGGTTCTCTATTCCTATAAAGAGTTACAGCCTTGCAAACTCACAGGGGCAGTTCTACCCTGACCTGTAGGGTCACTGTGAGTCAGCATCAACTCCATGGCAGGGAGAGAGGTGTCCGGCTGGCCTAGCGAGTTAGGCACTGAGATGTTGCCAAGGTCACCAGTTCAAAACCACCGTGGGGGAAAACAGCTGAGGCTCACTGCTTCCATAAAGGTTGATTCTGCTCTGTCCTGTGAGTCCGATGGCTGTGCATGGGCTTGTTTGTCTGGTTTACATTGATGTGGTGATAGGGCACCACATCAGTTACTGCCCTCTGCCTAAAAAGGTTGGGGGGACAGATAAAAATAAAAAGGTTCAGGGTCCTTTTCCGGTTCATAAGTATGATTGGGTCTTCAGCGTCTGTGTGCTATGTGCCTCCCTTAATCCTTGTTGCGACGTTGGCACATTACCCATCTGACACATACAAAAAATAAATAAAATAAAAAGGTTCAGCAGTGGTTTCCTAAGAGGGGAAAAGCCAGCAGGGGGCGCCGTGTGGCCGGGGTTCCATCAGGTGAGCCCAGAGGGCCTGGATGTGACAAAAGGAACAAACAAGACCCAGCCCCTTCCTTCCAGAGAACCAGCCAGCCCTTGACTTCGCCCCACTGTGCACGCCTTCAATCCTTCGGGACCTCCCCACTCTCAGGGGACGGAGCCTCTTGAGCTCCTGGTGCACCTGGGCTCCCAGCTCCCAGAGCCCCGGCCGTCCTACCTGCCAGCCCATTGGCCACCTTCCTCCTCAGCCTGGCTCCTCTCCGACCACTGAGGTCCAAGATCAGCCTGGGGCTCTTCTAAGAAGTCTCCTGGCCACATCTGGTGGGGCAGCTGGCTCCAGAGTCCTTCAGGGTCGGGGCTGGGCTTCCCCACACCTCCTCCCACCCAGCTCCCTGCCGGAGGGGCCCAGGAATGAAGGGCTGCAGAGAAAGCAAGGGCCTGTGGGAGGAGCTCTAGAGCCGACTGTGACGGGGCACATCCAAAGCTTTTTAAAATCAACTTAACTACGGGAGTGTGTGATATGTGAATTTTATATCCCTACAACTAATTTAAAAAAAAAAAAAAGCAAGCAAACAGGGGAGCTGATATCCAGGAGGTCAAATAGAAAGAAAATATATTGAAACAGACTGTGGTAGCAATTGTACCAGGCGGCTTGATGTGATTGAGCTATGGAATGTTATGATGTCTGTAAGAGCTCCCAATAAATGATTAGAAAGAAAAATTAGATAAGCGAAAACAGGAGAAAGGATAGGCCCTGGTGACCATGATCCAGAAATGGCCATCTTTGTTCTGAGTAAAAGGCCCTGCTCTTCCAACCCCCTTTCTAGGTTGGTGGCTTCCCTGACTCTGCCTGGCCCCTTGCCTTAGGCCAGTGGTTCTCCACCTTCCTGTGGTCGCCACCCTTTCATACAGTTCCTCATGTGGTGGTGACCTCAACCATAAAATGATTTTCATTGCTGCTTCATCACTGTCATCTTGCTACTGTTATGAATCGAGCAACCCCTGGGAAAGGGTCGTTCGACTCCCAAAGGGGTCTTGACCCACAGGTTGAGAACCGCTGCCTTCGGCTCCCCTGCAGGGCACTGGGTTTCAGCCTGGGTGCACACCTGCATCCAGTCCCTGGTGTCTCTTTATGACAGCGCAAAACCAGAAACCAAACTCACAGCCCCCCGCGGATTCTGAGTGACATGGCCCTTGGGACAGGGTAGAACTGCCCCTGTGAGTTTCCGAGACACTAACGCTTTACAAGAGCAGAAAGCCTCGTCTTTCTCCCAGGGAGCGGCTGGCCGTCTCAAACTGTCGCCTTTGCGGTTAGCAGCCCAGCATGGAACCCACTATCCACTAGGGCTCCTTCACTGGGCTGTTGTTTGGTGCCATCAAGTCAGTTCTGACCCACAGCGCCACCCTCACCACGGTTCCTGTGCCCATTGCGCAGCCACGGTGCCCCTCCATCTCCCGGAGGCCCTTCCTCTCCTTCGCTGCCCCTCCACCTTACCAAGCATGGCATCCTTCTCCTGGGACGGGTCTCTCATGGGCTGCAGTATGTGCTTCATACGTGCTGGCTGGCGGACCTGCATCTGGATATCTGCAGTTTGCTAACCCGGGACACCATGAGTTGGAATCAACTTGCAGTCAACAACCATCTCCAGGAGGTGGCCCTTGTCTGGAAAACGGAGGCTCAGCCAGCACCTTAGCTGAGCCCAAGCCTGCCGCCTTCAGACCCAGCCGTGGGCCACAAAGCTCCGGAGGGCCAGAGGAACAGGTCAGTTGGGTCTTGCTGCAGTGGACTCTCATGCCTACGATGCTCCTGGCCCTGCCACTACCTACTGGGGGAAAAAAGCCATCAGAGCCATTCTAATACGCTAGGGACATAATGTGTCAGAGACAGCTTGCTGTCTTTCCCTCCAATGTCCTCCCACTACGCCAGCGCTTTCGCTTAATCGTCGAGTAGCTAAAACACATGGAAGAAAGGATGAAGGCAAGGAGCTGAATCGGAGCATTTCAAAAGGCAGCTCGAGGAGACAAAGCCAAATGTTATAAGGAAGTGTGCAAGGACCCAGAGTTAGAAAACCCAAAGGGAAGAACACGCTCAGCATCTCTGAAACGGAAAGACCTCGAGAATAAATTCAAGCCTCGCACTGCAATGCTGAAGGATTCTACAGGCAACACATCGAAGGATGCAGGAAGTGTCCAGAGAGGGTGGAAAGAAAAGAATAACTAGTTGATGGACATTGCACCATTTCATGAGGTAGCATCTGAGCAAGAACCAGCGGTGCTCACGGAATGTGTTAGCCAAAAACAAGACTTCAGGAATTGATGGAATACCCAGCGAAATATTCCGGAAAGCTGAAGAAGCGCTGGAAGCACTCACTCATCTATGCCAGGAAATTTGGAAGACAGCTACTTAACCAACTGATTGGAAGAGATCCATATTTGTGCCCATTCCAAAGAAAGTTGGCCCAACAGAATGCTCAAGCTATAGAACAATATCACTGGTAATCGCACACACGTGAAGTGTTGCTTGCGATCATTCAACAACACTGACAGGGAGCTGCCAGAAGTTGAGGCTGGATTCAGAAGAGAATGTGGAACAAAGGACATTGCTGCTGATGTCAGGTGGATGTTGGCTCCACGCAGAGAGTATAAGAAAGCTGTTTGCTTGTGTTTCGTTGACTATGTAAAGGCATTTGACTGTGTGGACCATAATACACTGTGGAGAACTGTGGGAAACAAAGATTTCTCCCAAGGTGTCTCCCACAAATGTATCCCAAACTTAGCTGCTTGCTACACGTGGCCAATGACTATACACTTAGAAGTCAACAGAAGTAGGCCAGGGGTTATTCTCCCTAAGGGTTATCAGCCATCCAGAGCAAGCAGTCACCACTGTTTATCCCACAACAAGTAGGGCCCATTCCCTTCTGATAAGGATAGTAGTTGACTGTTTCCTTGTAGGAGACCCTACAGAGGTCAAGCCCACCCAAGGGTGACCGCCATCATAAGTCTTGGGTCTGTCCCTTCTTTTTTTTTTTTAATCGTTTTATTAGGGGCTTATACAACTCTTATCACAATCCATACATACATCAATTGTGTAAAGCACTTTTGTACATTCATTGCCCTCATCATTCTCAAA